ACATAAATTGCATACGAACGTGTGAGCACTGGGAGAAGACGCAAATCTCATTTCATTGATACGGTCATTCAGAATGATACGATACCTACGAAATTCAAGGGTTTGAGGGATAGCGAGCAAGGGATGGAGGATCAAGAGAAAAAAAAGCCTTGGGAAAACCAACTGTAGTATATCTTGTAATTAGCATAGCGAATAGGTAGCATTTTAGATAGGCACAACATCATGCATGAAATGGCAATTTTGATGTTCTACAAAGCAAAGTCTGTTCATGCATCTGTATCTGCTCTCTCGTATCTTCAAAAAGAAGGGCGTTTAAAGAATGTGACGTATTTAAAAAGTTCTACTTGTAGATTAACATTTTCTCTGATTGTTTCACCACATTTCAAAAGCATAATTCGGTGGCTGGTTAATGTAACAATTTTATACTTCCTTCCTTAGCACTTCTTTTTTACGGAGTAGAGTAAAGTAAAATCCAAGCAAGGGAAGTCGAAGACCTCCTTCAGACAAATGCTTTGATCGCCCGATCTTCCTCTTTCTTTCATTCCATCTCTCACGTCACCATATCCAATCGTCTAAAGCCATTGCATTAGTCCTATATCTTGAAATGGAAAGAGCTAGCAGCATGATTGGTCCAGCCACGCAGTACAAGTAGTACATGATGCTCTCCCTGCATCATTTGGTCATCTCGGCCAATCATTGACTGAGATGACAAGAGATGTATCCCTGAAACACATACCAATACTGGGATTGAGCTAAACAGGGATGAAGGATGGACAACGCAGCAAGATTTGGATTGGGTAGCAGGGGAATGATGAGGGGGGAAGTTGGAAGAGATGGAAGAGAGGGGAGGGAGATGTTGGAGAGGGAGAGGGAGAGGGAGAGGGAGAAGTCGACAAGTCAGTGTTCTGATTGCAGTAGTGGTAGTGGTAGTGGTGGAGGTGGTGTACAGCTAGATGAAGAAGCCTGGAGTAGAATTAACTTAGATAAAATCAAAGGGAACGAATTATAAATTCAAGGCTATTTCTTCATACGTATGTGTATGTATATTTTATGAGATTTATCAGAATGGGAGTGGCTAGAATCGGCAGATGAAGAATATCCATATAAAATCTATTAGATACCTACCAAGGTAAGGAAAGATCCAGGTATATTGAGATTTCTGTCATATACTGTATACACTCACCTATTATGTTCTATTTCAAAGCCAATCAATAAAAGACATTGTGAAGAATGAATTAGTTCCAAATAGTACGCGTAGGTAGAATGGATTGAATGGATTGAATATGATTTTAGTTTGCACCTGCCACCAGTACTTCTGTACTTGTTTCTATTTAGAGACCAATTATACTACTGGAGTCGAATCTAGTGCTTGCTGTACGAAGAGAAGTATCCTCCTACCTACTACCTACTCATACCATACTCACATTACTACTATTCGTCTTCTTTCCTCTCTCCCCTCTCTCTTCTCTCTTCTCTCTTCTCTCCCCCAATCACTTTAAACACGAATGCGCGATGGGCCTTTGGAAAAAGACATAACCCCACCAAAATACCGTGCACTATACCTCTTTCCCTCCATCCCGTGTCCCGTACACACACCAAGTACCAGTCTACCAGTCCAGTCGACTACCCACTACCCACTCCCCACCCACCACCCATTACCACCAAGCCCACTTTAGTATCATATCCGCGATTCTCTTCTTCCAACCCACCCACTTATCCATTATCGCATCGCTATCAGTTCAGTCACATCCAGATAAAACCAACATAACTTTCAATCCATCATTCGCGCATTCATATATCGAAAAGAATAACAGTCGCATACTTGTATGAATTAAAGTCATAAATTCACAAAGTTTACGCGACTGTAAACAGCTACTCAAGGCAGACGTGTTTTTGGATTGATATGTCCATATTTACTATCCAAAACCAAGTCCATTTTACACTGATCAACCTAAATATCGCACCTAGTACCTTCTTGATTGTCATAATCATATCGTTCGCATATCTTTATCTCATCCAGACTAAAGCCCTTCCCATACCAACTTGGAGCGCATCAACAGACATCGTGAAGAATAATAGAAATCATGGGCACTACGATAGAGGAGCTAGAAGGAATGTTCGACGACCACCCCTCGTTAAACGCATCTCTGCAGGACTTCGAACAAGGAAACATAGAGATAGATCACAACCCACCTCGCCGTTTTGGTTATCCTTCCCAGCATTCGGGCTTCCGCAGCGACACGGACTCGGAGGACGACCTAAGAGACTCGGTATCCAGAGGTGGCTACAGTCCGCCAGCATGGAGACGGGAGGAAAACGGCAACCGAAGCAGCGGCTTTTGGAATCGGCATAGTAATATATTGGGAAAGAGGCACAGGGAACTTTCTAGAGAAAGCAGTCCGGAATATGAGAGTGCTGATGAGGGAGGTGGATCTGATCCGACGCTTGCCGCGGCTGTAAGAACCAGATTACCAACCGGTTCAATATCACCGGAAAAGAAGAGAAGCCCCTCACCAGGTCCATATCCTTCGGGAAATGAAGATTTTGGAAAGACGTTTGGCGCGGTAGTTAAACAGGAGGATGGCCACGAAGGCGCTTTGGTACCTTCGATGGAGAACCCCAACAACTGTATGAAACTTGGAGTAAATGTATTGGTTCATATGCTGATGTATAAAAAGTTATTCGATTCGCATTTAAAACCGAAGTACAACATCGTACAGAGCCGTTTGAAGCTGCATTTTCATCTATGAGTTTAAAGTTTGAGAAGATCATGAGTTCATGGGCTTCCGTATGCAGTGCGCTTGTGATAGCGATTATTTCCATCTTGACATTACGAACACTATTTCAACCTTCACAACTACCACCAGTCCCGGATCTTATTAAGGTCGCGGGACTTGCAAGAGCTTTTGAACCTCTAATATTCTATTCAGAAAATGGGATTCAACAAATCGGCGATATACAGCAGACTGGTATTGCGGTCTGGGATCTTGGTGAGAGCGTACGCTCAACAAATATGACGTCTGCGCCTGTCATTGTTGCGGAACTCGATGAACTGAGTGAAACCCTCAAAACTTTGTCTGTTGAGTTAACCAGATTCTTTGCTAATGTTGACGGAGATGTGGATGGGTAATACTTTCTACTTCTGTTGCTTGAAATCATCTGACATATCTAGTATCTTGATCGTTATGGATTGGGCAAAACGAGAACTTGCTCAACTAAATCATCTGCCGCCTTCTCCCCTTAATTCGGCCTTTGATAATATACACACACTTCTTAGCCGAGTAGGAGTTTTCGAAACTCCTACTGGAACACCGACCAAAATTGGCGTTGTCGCAACGAATATATTCGGCATGTCATCGCCTCAAAGAACACGTCAAACACTTCAAAGAACATTTAACGAGTTCCTATCAGTGCTTGAAGATGCTATTAGTTCCGAGCTCAACCATGCTCTTCATCTCTTTGCCATCTTCGAAAAGATCGATCATCAATTTAAAGCATTATCTCGTAGCGCATCCCGTGAGCTAGATACCCAAGAAATGGACGAAGATAAACTTCTCTCTTCACTCTGGACCAAACTTCTCGGTCCCTCCTCCAGTACCCTTCACAAATTCGAGAAGAATAAAAAGCTTCTCGCCAACATCCGTTCTAAGACTATTCAAAACAAATCTGTCCTTCTCGATCATAACGGCAAATTGTTAACGTTACGAGCAAATCTAGATTATCTGAGGAAAAAGTTGGTCAGTCCGCTCGTAAGGACAAATAGCAGCACCATTCGAGTCGAAGAGCAAATTCAAGGTCTAGAAGATGCGAGCGGATATCTAGGAAAGGTTAGGGAAACGCAAAAGGGGAAGTTGATGGAGATGCTTTATGGTGCAGGAAGTGGGAGCGCAAGGAGAGTAGCAGGAGCAAAGGCGGTGGAGATTGAAGGGAGATGGGAATAATTCTGTTTGATTTCCTTTTCTTTCCTCTCTCTCCTTCTTATCCTTGCGCGGGAGTATAAACGGATGAATGGATGGGACCAATTGTATCAGTGAAGGAGGCTCACTTGCTCACTACTTGCTTTGCTTGCTTGCTACCCGGACGGTGTTTTTGGTGCAGTAACTGGAAGGTAGATAAATGGAAGGGAATCATGGTGCATGGACCAATATCATTGATGGGATTGGATAGGTGGCGTGTTTTCATCGATTGGTTGTTTTTTCTTTTCATTTTCGCGGTTGCATCATGGAATGGTGTTTGAGGGATATTCTGTTTTGGTCTAAGGCGTTTTGTGGGGATTGGGATGGATTGGGATGGGATGAGGCGGATTTTATAAACTTAGCATGTATTTACAACTCATGTATTCTTCTCTTCTCGCTTTCTTTTGTTTCTCCTTCTGTGGTGCATGGTGGATGGAAGGCGGTTGGATTGGGTTGGGGATATTGAGGGGGTGTTATGGTTGGTTGGTTGGTTGGACAGGATGGAGCTGGGAGATTAGGTAGGATGAGGTAGCAGGGAATGGGGAACAGGGTAAGGAGGAGTACATAGCTTAGGAATGCGAATCAGGAAATACACTTTATATCTATCTATTCATCTTTGTGGGGATGATTGTTGTGTGAGTAATAATACTCGCAAATGATTTTCCTTGTTGTGAGAGTAACTGAGCAGCGGGGGAGATGGGATGGAATGGAATGAAGGAAGGGGAAGGGGAGGGGGAAGATGATAAGTCAAGAAGTGATAATCCGGATATATATCTGAATCAAAGACAAAGGTATTCATTCGCATTATATTTATCCTTATCCAGTAATAGATGTCTTCCGAGGAAGCGAGGTAACTAAGTATCCTATCTGCATACATGTTATCCATGCTCATCCATAGCCCAATACCACATTCGCATCCGCATCCACATCCACAAGCAACAACTCAACTCTACTGCGCACTTGACACTTATTTCAACGACCCTTTTATTTCCTTTCCCAACATTTGCCTTTCTTCCCAGCTTTCTGATTCCCAGTTCTCGGGATCTAATTCCTGAACGCTAATCGGCCGTGCATCGTATCTGAATCTTCTCCACGCATCTCCTGCTTTAAGTTTTGCTTTGTGTTTAATGACGGATCAGGTTTCTCTAGTACGGCTTCTTCGTCTTCTTCTACATTTTCTTCTTGTAATTGTTCTTGCTCTGGCTCCTGACTCATTTTTGGTGTGGGTTCTTGGATCATCTGCGTTTGGGAAGATTCGGCACTGTGTAGAGATACACCCGAGTCGATGTTTTCGCCGCTTGGGGTGTATTTTTCGTTGGTGATCTCGTCGTCGGTCTCGATGTAATCGTTGTTGTTCATGTCGTTGGGTTTTAAGAGGGATTTTTGGAAGGGCGCTTCGATGGACCAGTCGGTTATGCACTAGATAGGGGAGGTGGGGATTAGTGAGGGGGGCGGGACTAATAGATGATGGGGAGTGTGAAGTTTGAAAGATGGGGAGAACATACCTTAACATCCAATTCTGGACATCGATATCCGTAGATCTTCCACTTTCTAGCCCAGTATTTCTCGACTTCTTTGCTGAATCTCTGGTGCGCCAAGAAGATTAGTCGCCCACTTTACAAATCTTTCTTTTTTCATCTTCGTTCATGGAATAGCAAATAGATGAAAAGCAAAAAGCACATACCTGTTCCACCGCGAACCTCAATACTTCCTTCATGTCCGCTTCTACCTCCTTGATTGTCATAAGAATTCTCTCCTCGCCAAGCCTACTCCTCATACCCACAAAACGTCTCATCACATCCCTCTTCGACCTCATTTCATCAAACATGCCTATCAAAAGCTTACACCACGCGGCCTCCATCTCCGCCCTCCCAATAACCGTCGCGCTCTCTTTCTCACTATTCTCTCCCTCCCTTGAATTCCCATTTTCCTTGCCCTTCTGGTCCCTATTCATTCTCAACCATCCATAATAGTTATCCACCTCCAAGCAAAACTCCAGATACCGATCTTTGTACGCCGCGAATTTGAGAAATACGGCGGTGTGAGCGGGATAGCGTGGTGTGATGGCTTCGAGAATGTGGGTGCAGGGGATCGACCAGAGACGTTCCCATGGACGGTAGACGAGGGTTGGTCGGCCGTAGATAGAGAGGAATTCAGGTGAGAAATCGAGAGTGTGGTATTGGGATTCGAGGATGCGGACACCGGCGGAGATGAGAAATTGTTGGTCGGTTGAGGGGGCGGTCACGGGCGGGTAGAGGGTGGTTGACATTTTTGTGATGGGGTGTTGGGAAGTGGTGGTGATTATTTTTTTGAATTTGAGAGCTTGCTGGACAAAGAGTAGGTAGGTATGGAGACTTTGATAAAGTTCTCGAGCTTCGAGATGGAGGTAGAAGAATCTTTGAGAAGAGCTTTGTGGTGCGGTTTAAATAGAAACCAGCTTCGCTTGTTCGGTACAGCCATTGGAAGATCGTGAGATTGGATTGGATGGTGGTATTCACTCGGATTTTGTAGAATCGGAGTAATATGTGAAGTCGATTATCTGGTGAGTGCGAGTAAGGTGAAGTGAGGGGTTTGATACCTGAGCGTATAGTGAACATTCACTTACCTTCTTCTTGAGGAGATTGCTGTGGATTCGTGGCGCATTGATATCAAAAGATTCAACTGTCACTTGACAATCATTCACTTCATCTCTCGAATCTTGTCCGGGGACCAAATAGCAAATGATCCTCATTCTTACCCTGCTCATCTTCTCAAATCATAATTCACCTAGCCGTCCATCTATGCATACCCAAAAAGTGCAACCACCTTCAACAAGAGACAATGTCCAGATGGCTCAGTGGTACAGCACATTGGGTCTTTCACATCCCCTCAAACGGGACCTCTGCTTCACGTCCGAAGACTTTGTCTCTTCAAGGATTCAGTTGTGAATTCGATTAATTCAAGTTGTGCGTACCGTACCGACTGGTTAATCTTTTGGAGTTTTTGGTTATGATATGATTTTGGGGTGTATCCTTTTGGTGGGGCAGAAGAGGGGAGAGAATGACTGTCGTCTGAAGTATTTTGTGGGGCTGCTAAAGAGAAGAGTGAAGTAGAAGTGAAGTGAAGTTTGGAAAGATACTATGCTTTTGGTGTTATGTTGGCTTCTGTGAGAAGTACCAGAGAGATGTGACATAAAGAGTGAGAACGAAATATGTGCAAGCTCACAAATCTGCTACGTTGAGTAGCCTTTTGATACTCAATCAATATTGCATAATGCTAACTTGCAATCCTACCAGAGACTGGAGAACCACTTGATGGTTCTTCCCAGCTCAACATGCGGTCCATAGTTCTGACCCTTATTGAACTTGACCATGATATAGCGAGAAATCGAATAAGCAGAGGAATTTCCCATATCTGAAATGAGAAATCAAATCATGTGCCCTGACACGAATAAGGCAAGTGCACTAGTTGTTCTTCCCCAACTTCAGTAATGGCACTAAACTAGACTGCCTTCTAACCCCCACACCTTCACATCTCCCTAAGATGTCACCCCCACAAACTTTCTTCCAACATCTCAAACTTAAGTCAAGATGGAGTTGAATGATGTTGCGAGTATTACGGGTAAGTAATTTCATACACTTTTCATTGTTTGACAATGCACTAATGGTTAATTGTGTAGAAGGCAAAATGAATGATCCAGGCCCATCTCCAGAAACCGAAATCGACAATCCATACAGGTATATTTTTGCGACAGAGGAACCAGTATTCCATCGATTTCCCAAGCTTCCTCAAGAGGTTCGTGATATGATTTGGGATTGGGCTGTCGACCATGACTCAACCCCTGACGTTGTGCTTTCTTCGCCCACTTTTCCCAACACCCCTTTCCTCTTTCAAGTATGCCGAGAATCGCTAGCAGCTTGTTTGAGAAGATATACCATTTTCAGACATCCAGATGCATATAGCACGGGCGAAAGGGCGCTCGACTTCTTCGCTTGGATCGACTATGAACGTGACGTACTCGAATTAAATGACTGCTTTGACCGGCAGGCAATGAATCGAGTACATGAGGAGGATCGTCTCACGTATGTTTCGCGACTCCACAAAGACTTACTACTTCCAGTCAAAAATCTTGTTAGTAGATCACCATTCAGTTTTGGCTGAGCTGCAGATTCGCTTGATACTAGCACCGAATTAACATGATTTTGTAGGGAATCGACGCATACGACTTGCTGGGACTGATAAATCCCTCTATCAATGTATGGCAAAGGTTCGCTGAGATCTGCCCCAAAATCACGCACCTAAAGATAATCTTCCGTGATTGTGATTGGGGATCCAGTGAGCCAAAAATACCTCATAAGCGCTGCCTACAGCGCTTGGATATGAACAATGTACGTCCAGGCACTACCATTGACCGAATATTGCACGACATGGAACAATTCATCGCTCTTCGTGGGTCATTAAGTTATGAGGTCGAACTCGCTGAACTTGCCCCCAGCTCGGAATTAGAAGAAAAGGTTATAAAGCGTCAGAAACAAGCAGAAAATGAGGAAGCCTTTGATGAATTGATGTATGGTCCGGTTAAATGGTTTAAATACGCCCAAGAGCAGAAAAATGAGGCGGCTTTTGAACAGCGGAGATGGGCGACTTGGGGGCAGATGTGGTGGGAAAAAATTGAAACAACGGGATGCAGATGAGGAAGTTCTGGCTCAGTGGGTACGGGAGGGAAAGTTCAAGTACGATTGAATGAAAGAAGGAGTGTTCTCTAGATAATCCGCTTAAATTAGAATCGCTTCGATATAGAAGAATGTGGCATTTGTGCATTTGCTCCGCAAAACATGAGCAGAAGAATCATTAGCAATTTTCGCGTATACATGAGCCACGGTTACATAGACTCATACGATGACTTCAAGGCCGATTACAGAAAAGTTCCTATAATGTCTATTGCTTCAATTCAAAGCATGACCAAGCTACTCAATGTAATTTAGACAATAAGAGCGTAAAACTTGAATAGAATCGCCCATATTATAAAAATTCATGGATTTTGAAATTATGGAAAAACATTTCATAAATTCGACAACCGATAAAGAAAGAATTTATGCCCTTCACTCCTTGCACACCCGTGATATCTTCACTCTAGATCAAAGTAGAGAAACTCAGTATTTCCCTCAATATCCCATATTTTCCTCACACTCTCGCCGCAAGCGACCCATCAGACCACCCCAATAACCTTACCCCGTACATCCCCACCCTATTTCCCAGCACACCACAACTTCTTGCTATAAACCCATCTTTCGCCCGCCACATCTTCCACCGTATCCGGATTAAACCAGAATTTCTCGCCATGTGCATGGTATGTTACACCGCGGAGACCGACGCCCAGTTCTGCTGCATATGTGCGGTCCTGTTTCCTGGGTATTAGCGAATTTCGTTTTGAAAATATGTGGGTGGAGTGAGAGAAGAGGAAGATGTACCGTATTATTCCCCTTCATTTTCCCCTGCCATAATTTCTTCGTGCATGTGAAATGCCAGGGTTTCCACTATTCGTTCGTACATGTCAGCGTTATCCTCCCGATCTTTCTCGTCCTTTCCAATTTTACCATCTCCACCGTCCCTCCTGCTCCGTCCCTCCTGCTCCATATTTCCTCTCCTAATCATCTCCAAGCCCTCCCACCCCAAACTCCCAACCCGAAATCCAAAAGGTTAAAACAAGAAAAGAAACTCACAGCCCACTCCTCCCTCTCCCAATCCTTTTCATTCTCCAGCGCCTGCCATCTCCAATGTTCATTATACGTCATATTGATCGAGCACGTTTCAATCCCATTATCGATTATCTTCCCTACAAACGGTTTATCGTTATCGAAAGGGGAGGTTGCGTAGTAAACGAGGCATGCTTGAGTAAAGACAGGGAGGAAAGAGAGAAAGGCGAAGAAGAACGAGACGAGATAGCGCATGCTGGACGTGTTAGACTGTGATTGACCTTCTCCAATCGAGTGATAGAGGAGAACTTACATGCGATAAGTGCGAATTTGAGATCGAAATCAGAGGTCAAGCATCGCACGATATCTTCACATCTATACAACGACCCAAGTTGTAGCCCTCCACGCAAGTCAACAAGATTCTCAAGCCTCTAGTGTGGCGACTATAAAAAAAACAGAACCCAGTCAACTAACATCAACCATAGGACGAAAGTTTCATCATCAACCCCTTTCATAAATACAACCTCCCCAATATTCTCCATTTGAGTAAAGCTGACGAGTCCATACCTCGATTAGTTTATCCAAGCTCTTGGCAACTTCAGCCTTTGTAGAGAAGGAAAGAATAAGAGATATGTAGTGACGCATTACTTTTCCCGTACTTTTATCCCTTTTTTCATTCTTGAAGGGATATCTGATTGCCCCTAAAAAGAAAAAAAGGGCGTTGTTCGCTTAATATCACAACTCGACAAATTACCTAAAAGAGTAAGGAGGCTGAAACCTCTCATTTGACACAATTCCTTTTTATCTCAAAGATATAAGAAGATAGTTGTCAGTCTGTTGGAGTTCCAGCTGTGTGCTACACACGGTATGTAAAATTCATTCGATCGATATTCCACACTTATCATAACATGTCACGATAGGTCAAATTGCAGTATGGAAAAGATCTGATATTTGCATTTCGATACTATTCATTTAAGCTGAAGTTATTGCGCACCAAAATTGGAAACGCAAATCGAAAAAGTTGCTGTTATCTACGGAAACGTAGAGATTGCTGCAATAGTCAAATGAGTGAACAGTGAACGGGAAAAGAAAATTATCTCTCGCTCCCAACAAACAATCGGCATGGTTGAAAAATGCCTCGACGAATGGAGATGTTGAAAATTGAAGTCTGCTTGCCTATGCACTAAGGCTCTCGGAATAGAGTGTAATCTGGGAATCTAAAGATACGACCAGGAACACATCGAAATGTTTAGATCCAGAACATCGACTCTGTAATATCTTGGTGGATATTGATTCTGCCTTGACCTATCGCATTCGTGGACGGGGTTGAAGGATTTCCAGGCTCTGGTGTAGTCCGACCTGTTGGAGGATCATACTGATCTGCGAGATATGCTCTCATGCGAGTGCACAGCAAGTCTGCGTAATATGCAGGCGGACATAGACTCACAGCCTTTGTAGCCCTCCCGAACAAGTGGCACATATTGTGCGTCAGTTCTTCAAGAGAATCGGCTGAAGTAGTGTGAGGAGCCTTCACTTTTTGTGACTTGAATATTTCGTCTTGAATGACAAAATAATGGCAAGGTCTGGCCGTTCCCATCAGACTTTGATGTGGCTGAAGAAAGAAGTCCCAGTTGCGAGATTCGGTAACACCACGATCAACTACAGTTCCGGCGGGACAGTTCGACTTAGAGTCTGCACTATCAGTGTCCTTTGGATAAAATCGAGTGTGGTGTCGCTTTCCACAAACTATGATTGAGATTCGTGGCAGGCTTTTCTTGGTGTAGTCGGCGGGATACTTCTGACGACAAGCATTTCTGATTTTCGGAAGTTCTTGTTCAAGCAATATATTGTATTGCCCCTCCGATACACCATCTCTATAAATCAGAATATTGTCAGGTAACTTTTTGTTCTTTCTCTGCCAGATGTCCAGTTGCCTAATAAACATAGGTTCGAGCTCTGATACCGGCTCTTGACGAGCTTGGCCTTGTAAGCGGCAGATACCGGACCATTGACCCAAGAGCTTATCAGTGCTTGTTACCATGGCAGCAACACTAGGTGCCGTGTCTTTTGATCCTGGGGATGGATGTGTTACGTCAATTCCAACGACCATTGTCTTCCCTTCGTTGATAATCCCAAGCTTGTCGATTGTCTGATTGATACCGCCAGCCTTGAGATTGAATTTCAATGCGACATTACCGAAGTATTGCGGGTCTCCCTTTGCAAACTTGGAGTGTTGTACGCAAACTGTATGTATACCGGCTCTGGTATCTCCGAACCGCTTTATCGTGTTATAAAGCATTACATCATCCACTGGAAGGATGCATAGAAGAAACTTGGGTTTCTTCAGGTTTGAAGATGTAGACATCATTCGGAATACTCTTTCAATATCGGCAGATGTAGCTGTTTCGTTCCCATCTATATGCTTAGGGGTAGGCGCGGGTGTATCCATCCAACCTTGGACTCCAATTCCTGCACCTTCAAGGTGGGCCTTAAACTGCTTAACTGTATTGGCCGCTGCTTCGTGGTCCCATCTAGCACCACGTTTGTCGGATTCAACCACCATGTAAGTCCAGTTACCTAGATCTCCGCAAGTGTGGAAACGAGTGTCCCTCATATTCCAAGAACCATCCATGGGTACCTTTGTCATTGGACGATGTTGTCTATTCTTGTAATTGATCACGGGTGGTGGCAAAACACGACCTTGAACAGTTATAAGGCTGTTACCAACCTGGACACCAAATTTAGAGAGAAGAGGATTGTCTTTATTGTTCAAGCCCAAGACTTGTTTACCAGAAGTGATAATGGACATGGCGTTAGGCTCTGGCCTTCTATTTGCGAAATCCAACATCAAACGAGTTTGATCTCCAAGTAAAGACTTCTTCACAATTTGGCCTGGCTTTATGTTACAGACCTCCGCCGGCAGGTAAGATGGGTTGGAGTCGTTGCCAACATTGATTACAGGAAATTTCGGATTCAAAACAATGTTCGGATATTTAAATTTGAAATAATCATACACGGTAATGTATTTGTTGATTGTTGCGGCTGGCTTAGAACCCTGCTTTGATCCGGGTTTAGATGGAGTTTTGGCTTTCGTTGATGGTTGTTCGGCGGAAATCCAAAACTTGACTTCTTTTGGCCCAGCGCCATATTTAGCAACCTGTGGGGGGTGCTCTTCGGTTCTACCATCACTTGGGCGAGCCAAGTCCCAAATGGTCTTTTCTCGGGGAATGATGATACCGGACTTGGACTTTTTTGCAGCCAAGTGAGTGACTTCTACTCGCTTTCTCTTTATCTTATCCACAACACTATGGGCATGACCAAGTCTTTGGAAGAAAACGTTCAATGGCCCACGCTCGAGGAAAACGGAATGGGTGACGTTTACGTTCAACAAAAGTCGACCAGTAGCTGGTCTAACACTCTGATAGAACCCGCGTATAGCCTCCAGTCCATAATTCAGGGTCGTGTAGTTATGCTGGTTGCCAGCTTGAGCTGTGGAGAAGTGTCTATTATTTGCAATAGAAACAGTTCCTTTCTGGCTCTTGGCGAAGAACCCCATCACCGTATTCATGGCCTGGATAGCCTCCTCTCTTTGAACTTCTGATACATTAGCCGCAGAAATGTTGCCCAAGCTTTGGACAAGATCGGGGATAGTGTAAGACGTTGGAGAGCCGATCCGAACCTTATAAATTTGGGCATTTGAAAGTGGATCATCCTCTCCTTCGTTTCGCCAAGGAATGTCGAAAACACGTTCCTCTTTGAAAGGCAATTTGTTCGGTGTGATTATCATGGACGCAAAATCAGTGGCCAGAGGTATGTTTGCAAATTCTGGCAACTCGAGGATGAGATTGAAAAGCTGCTCCCGTTTCTTTTTTTTGTCGTCCATGCTCGGGGATATGGTTACCGGGTAACGACCCAAAGCGAAACTCGGGCTTGTGTTTAATGCAAAATAATTAGCATACAGCTGAACTTTTCGACCATTTTCGCCGTATCCTGGGCGAGTAGGAAATCTTTGGTTGAACGACATCTTATTCAAGGCATTGATCCCGGATGAGCTCTTATGATAGTCGTCTTCCATTTTCGCGACTTTGGCGTCAGGTGCTTCCGCTGCATAATTAGGATCCCTGCAGAGCGTATTAGATCACTACTCGGAGTATAATGCAAGCACCTTACCTGAAGATGGATACCGGGCCACCTCGACCTCCACCACGACCTCCACCACGGCTACCATAAGTACCACGATTTCCACCATCATAACCACCTCCTCGTTCACCACGATCTCCACCTCCTCTTCCACCACGATCTCCACCACCACGACCTCCACCTCCTCGTCCACCACGATCTCCACCTCCTCGTCCACCACGATCTCCACCTCCTCTTCCACCACGATCTCCGCCACCGCGACCACCGCGGCCACGTCCACGTGCAGGGTCAAAAGACATGGTACGACTCACTAGGGTTCTCTCAAAGGGAAAGAGTGTTGAGTGTATCTGCGAGTGGGTGTTAGAGAGCAAGTTAAGAAGGCCAGACATAGAAGACTGAGCGATGAAAGTTGCGAAGATAAGTCTTTCCAATCTTGGCATAGCGAAAGTAGAAGATTGTTTTATAAGTAGAACATCATGAATTGAGCATGTGCCATTTGGCTACCAAAGCGGGCTTGCTTTGTGAGTGGGAGAAACATGTTGTTTGGTTGAACTGAACTCCAGAGCGTGAAACAACATAATGTCTTATGAGCAATAAAGAGATCATGTATTGTGCGTGCCAATGAAGAAGGAAAAAGTAAATGTGAATTGAAAACTCATATGTGGTAATTGGTTGTGTGCCAAAGATGATTTGTAGGGGTCAAAGTGCTAATCTTGGAAAGCAAAATTGTGCCACGAAAACACAGTCAAGTTATCCCATGATTGGAAGAAATGGATATTGAAAGAATATGAAGCATACCTCCTGGGAGCTGAACTGAGAAGCTAGACAATCGACCGATGATTACCAATAGTGACAACCGATATGGATTTTTACTTGCGTTGCAGTAAAGACTTTAAAGAAGAATGAGTTAATGGTACGATTTCTTGTTTCGTTGGCGAGATAAGTAGCAAGAGGAATTCCAAAACAAATGAGGGGTTGGCTTGCTGCAGTAATCGTGTTAGCAGACGCAAAGGGATGCATTATTAAGAGTGATATATGGAGCCTTCTCGCGACTCAGAGAAAAAGCCGAATACAAGCAGGCCTCATACCACCTTTCGATGGCCCGATTCGAACTAAACTGAAGGACGGTTTGATTGCTCAAAGATATAAACAACACTCGGCAACCAAATAGCATCTCAAACAGCTGGCTCTTTCTCCTGTCGCGAGGCTTTGTGAGGAGCAGGATTTTCTAGCTACTTACTTGTTTGTGATCGTCGAGCTTGTAATTAGAACCGAGGGGAACAGGGAAACGCTTGGGATTTCATAAAAATCCAAAATATACGATATAATATATGATATTTCAGATAAGTAAGTGATATTGAAATAAGAAAATATTCGCGTGGTGGAATAGAAAAAGAAGGTTGAGAAGAAAGAAAGAATTTGGAGATAGATAACCTTGGAGGGCAACGTAACTTCAGCTCACAGCCCCCGGCAAGAACGATTGGTGAGGATGCAGTACCATCATTTTGACATTTTGTTACCCCACTTTCTCTTTGATAGATGTTGGGCAGAACGATAAAGAGTCAAAAGCGCGTTGTGATTTGTGTAAATCTGCCTCACTCAATAAATATAATGCAACGACATCAAGGTATCTAAATGCTCCTCTTCTTTCCTCAAATTCTAAGCTATTATGAGAATATAATTTTGTACTGCCTTTCTCCTCAAATTCGAAAGTTGAAGAGAAATCTCAACAAAAACTCAATTCGTGCATTCACCAAGCATTCACCAAAGAAGCGGGACAACTACTAAGGCCGATTTGAATCATTTGGCTAAAACCCCAAAAATAGATTTCTGTTTAATGAAAAAAGAAATTTTAGAATCTGTATAGTGTGTTTATAGAAATTTTATAAAAATAAATAGAATTCAATCTTATTAAAGATTTTTTATAAAAGAAATTATATTATTAAATAGCTTTTAGAACTAGCTTTATTTATATGTTTTTAGAATTCATTTCGAAATTTTCTATAGGAAGTGTATTAATTTTGAAATTTATTTTCAAATAGTTTTTCTTATAATATATAAATCACTTGAGAATAAGCAAAATAAGCTTAATAAGAATTCCTTATTTTAAGTTTTATTATAGGTCATAAGCAGGTATATAAGTATAGAGTATATATATAGAATATAAGAGGGATTAGACTAATATTAGTCTATTATGGGAAGCTGGCTCAGTTTAACAACTAAAAAGCAATGAAAATACGTGATATTTAGGAATCTGTATTGTAGTATTGAATTTCTTATCCTATATTAAGAGGGAAAAAGTCTATATTATATACCTTTTCTATTCTAACCTAGCTTTCCGCTTTCGTTTATCTCTCGTAGATCTCTTCCTAATCCGGCCATTCCTTTCGAAATAAAGCTCCTTTTCTTATTCTTTATTAATGGTCGTTTTCGGAATCTAATATAGTTGTTTTCGGAAACTAATAATAATCGTTTTCGGAAGCTAAATACGGTCGTTTTCGTATGGTCGCTTTCGGAAGCTTATAAGCGACGATCACGTGATTGGTCATGTGATCCTGTGAATCGCTCTTAGTATAGTATATGAATATAGAACTGTATATATATATATATATGTATATAAAAAGATATATTATTATTTTTATATAAAAACAATAAGTTTGAGCTCGAGTTTATCTTACTTAAATCGTATAACTAATATAGTTTTAGATAATTTCTAAAATATTTAAAAAAAAATTCAATTCAGTATATAACCCTAAAGAAGTTTATAAAATAAAAAGAAAAATAATAAAATTATTAATTAGAATTCAAAGAATCGATTAGTATAATTACTTTTGAATTATTTTGAAATTTGAAATAGATATTTAATATACTATAATTCTAATTACTTCAATTATATCTGTTTTATATTAATACTTCAAATATTAGATATTATAACTAATCAAACCTCAACTAACCAAACTAATCTCTTTAATAATATAGAATTTCTTAAATTTAATACACAACTTTAAAGGAATTGATAAAATAAAAAGAAAAGAGATCCTTTTATTAATTAGAATTTAAAGAATCGATTAATATATTTCTTTTTCAATTATTTCAAAAATTGAAATTTTTATTCAATATAATAATATTCAAAAAGTAAAAAGCCTAATATTAAAATTGAAATTTATTCGAATATTATTATATTGGTATAAATTTCAATTTTTGAGATAATTCAAAAAGAATTTTATCAATCGATTCCTTGAATTCCAATTATTAATTATATCTCTTTTCTTTTCTTTTTATTAATTCCTTTAAAGTTGTATATTGAGTTGAATGTTTTTATATAAAAGCACACCACTAAATTCTAAATACATTTTTAGTTTAGGCAGAAATCTATTTTTGGGGTTTTGGCCAAATGATTCAAATCGGCCTCAGTACAACGACAGTACATAGAAACACAGTGTGGATCTTTTTCGACGCGTAGTCACATGCTTGATTGAAAGGAGGGGATCCCGAATTTGTGCCTCCAATTATGTGATTTGTAGCAAATCATCACTATCAGAATAATTGATTGATGCGATGCGATGGTGATGTGTCAAGCACTCATGTAACCTAAGCTGCCACCCTGCAGCTCTTTGAACCAAGAAAACTTGTTTTAATTCTCTAATTGCGGCAAGGAAACAGCAAACGAAGAAAGAGTCACCTTTTCGTGCAACATAATCTTGTGCAGCCAGCTTAATCGGTGTCAAGATTGAGTAACGATTACCAGCCTTTCTGCACACGGCAGTGAGTTCACAACATCTATGGCTCCAAGGTAAATAAGCACCGCCCATTGATATTGCTATTCACACTGCAGGAGCGGCTAAGATGACCTTTACAGAAATATGGCGTATTGCTTTATAACATCGAATCATCAGCAGCATTGTAATTCCGTATGATCGTGGGTATGCCACCCAAACTCTCATTTGGTTGTTTGTTTTTGGTCAATATATCAATAGGAAACAGTCTAAAAAAGGGTGCTTCAGTTGGCTGTACGAGAAACCACCATTACTTGTTCGAGAATCACTAGGCAAGATTGTTTGAATTTCAATTCAACAACCGAGAACTGCAACAGTGCAAGACATAATACCGTATGCCGCAACTAAAGGGAGCGTCAGAGCCGCTACACAAAAGAGCAATCGTTGCATTGGTCCCTCCATATATTGCCACTACCCCGGACTACGGGGTATAGAGTTGACCGATGAGAATGCCATGCACATCTGTGGCTTTCTTGGCTAGTTGCCATGGCGAATCAAAGGAGCTTATGGATGTTGAATGAATCATAGGCATACCATCAACAAAGAAGTCAATTTATTGACAATAACTTCAATTATTGGCCTCATGACTTTCTCATACTCATAAAGTGAGTTAGTCAGTTGATGATGTTGCAATTATTCTCAGCTTCTCTGCCGAGCAGGCATGTGTCGCTGCTTCCTTATTGAGATTTAAGTTGTCTCGTTGAATTTGCTAGGCACACTTGATTGCCATCAATTCCATCCGGTCGACCATCCAAGGGAAACATAACCTGAGGTGTCAAAATCAATACCATCAATCCAAACAAAATCAAAGTCAAAGGCAAGCCCATCATGGAGGAGCTTAAAAACGAGATTGATATACACAACGCGTCGGAGTCGCTTTCCCAAAACAACACACCAGAGGAATCTGCACCAGGGAACAACATACCTCTGCAGAAAGAACTAACTTCAAGCCCCGACGAACTCGATGATGAAGAGGCAGTTTACCCCCATGGCTTGAAATTGGTCGTCATTCTCGCCGCGCTCTGCCTCGCAGTCTTCCTAGTAGCTCTAGATCAGACCATTATCGCAACTGCCATCCCGAAAATAACAGACCAGTTCAATAGCATACAAGATATTGGATGGTATGGCAGTGCATACCTGTTGACGACCACGGCTCTACAGCCGACTTTTGGTAGGATATATACTATATTCAGTGTAAGCAAGATAGCATATACTTCTCATTGTACGGCGCGAGGTTCATGAAATAACACAGATCAAAATTACCTTCATCGTGGCTATTGTCATTTTCGAAATCGGGTAATGTCATAACATGACTATGTAAATGCGCATATTTATTAATAAATAAAACAGTTCCTTGGTTTGCGCCACTGCGCCGAATAGTACTGCATTGATTGTTGGTAGAGCTGTTGCTGGTATAGGTGTCGGTGGTTTGTTCTCGGGAGCGATTGTTATTTTGGCATATTGCTGTAAGTGCAAGGTTTTTTGGACTCAGTGGCCATATGGAAACTTCAACCGACTTCGTTCACTTTTAGTTCATTGGCCTTTTTTAATAATGCTGACTTAATAAACAGTACCCCTGCGAAAACGACCGGCTGCTTTTGGTCTGATGTAAGTGAAAACGCTTTTGTAGGAAAGAACTTGTAGCAATTTAAATGGGTTTTGCATGATTACTGACAGGATGCAAACTCAGCGGAGGAATGTGGGGGATTGCTTCGGTCGCCGGCCCATTACTCGGAGGTGTCTTTGTAAGTTCAGTTTGACACTTCACGAGAGCAGATACTGATCAAAATAGACCGACAAAGTATCTTGGCGTTGGTGCTTTTACATCAATCTACCTATAGGCGCCATCGCTATTGCTGTAATAGTGGTCTATCTCAAAATCCACCGCGCCAACAATCCTGAGAACCTCACCATTCTTGCTCGTGTAATGAAGCTCGATCTCATCGGTACTATCATTATCATCCCAGCTGTCGTCTGCCTTCTACTCGCTCTCCAATGGGGTGGCACGACATATCCATGGAGTTCTACTAAGATCATCGGTCTTCTTGTTGGCTCTATCTTGCTATTCATCTTGTTCATCATCTCGCAAATCGTTCTTGGCGACAAAGGTATTCTGCCTCCTCGCTTCTTCCAAAATCGTAATACACTACTCGCATATGTCTTCGCGTTTCTCTTCGGCGCAGGCTTTTTTGCTTTGATCTTCTACCTGGCAATCTATTTTCAGTCCGTCAAGGGTTCTTCTGCTACTAGGGCCGGCATCGAACTCCTTCCCCTCTTGATATCCACCGTTCTGTCCTCCATAGTGACTGGAGGCCTTATCACTGTAATCGGATATTACACTCCTGTGATGATTTTCTGTATGATACTGTTCGCTATCGGTTCTGGTCTCATCACTACCTTCTCTCTTACCACGCCGTTTGCCTCTTGGTTCGGCTTCCAAATCATAACCGGTATTGGAATTGGCGTTGGATTTCAGGGTGGTGTCCTAGTAGTCCAGACCGTTGTCCCACTAGTTGACGTTCCAGTTGGGACAGCCTGTGTCTCATTCTTCCAATCCCTGGGCGGCGCCCTCTTTATATCTGTCTGTCAAACTCTCTTTCAAAATGGTCTAAAATCTGGAATAGAAAAGTATGCTCCACAACTTGATCCTCAGCTATTCTTACACAGCGGGGCAACAGAAATTCAGCAATTACTAGCACAATTGAATCAAGAAGAAGCGATAGGTGCTGTGCGACAAGCTTATGTGGAAGGCCTTACGCGTTGTTATTGGGTGACTACTGCATGTGCTATTGGTAGTTTCCTGGCGGCATGTGGACTGGATTGGAAGAGTGTGAAAAAAGGACATGGACAAGAAAAAGAGATAGAAAAGAGAAAGGAACAGAAGAGCAAAATTGCAAACGGTGGAGAGATGGCGCTGTAAGATATGAATAAGTTGCGTGCACTTGTCAGTTCAGAACTTGCCACACACTCTTAAATATTGTATAACTAGTAGAGCATTCACTCGATCTATCATTAAACTTAGAGCTCTTTTGATATAGCACCATCAGTCAAGTTCTTACAAACAATTGATTTCCAGACTCAAGTTGAACATTCAAATTTTTTACAAAACGTTAAGCCGCAGGGGACTATTTTATATCAAAGTGAAGTCAGACATTGATGTGCACTTTCAAATTTTGAGCCAGGGATATTGAATCCATCCGATAACCCAAAATCATGCATACATCGAATGCGAGAATGTATTAAAGATCATCCCATACCTAGGTATCGCAGGAAAAACACAATCAAAACGAACAAACCGAAACTCCATCAAATTTCCAGAACTCAAGGCTCGTTTGCGCACACACCTAGGGTTGGGCGATTTGATGATATATAATATCGTATATCGCTCAGTCAAATATAATATGTAATATCGCTTAGATTGCATTATATTATAACTAATCATAAAATCCTATAAAACCCTATAAAAACCTTATAAAAAGCTATTTTGAAGCTATTTTAAAAAGAAAATAATTAGTATATAAATCACATGATTAGCACCTGACTTTTAGATCTAATTGTACACTAAATTGAAAATTAAAACCCATCCAAAACTTTTTTCAAAAACGACTCACTTTCATTTATCCTGATAATCTTATTGACCCAAAAAACACATACATAAACTTAACATAATATTTTATATACCTCAAAAAGCATTATAATATAAAATTATATAATCGACCCCCAAATTATATAATTCGCCCATCCCTACACACACCACCCCCCATTTTTCAGTATGATGCTCAAGCCCCTCCTATTGGCGCGATAATCCTCTCCCGTTCCCCGCAAAATCCAAACCATTTCACCGGCGTTTTTCTCCAGCTTCTTAAAGTCCCTGGTCTAGGATCACCCCAGACTCTAGATTAGATTATGGAGGTTTGAATTTCCCCACAAACTTTACCTGGGTGTTGATTAAGTAGATCTCATCTCAAGCTGCGAGAGAGATCATCACAAATTTCAACACCAGAAACAAGATAAATCAAGCCCCCATATGTTGGTTCAAGTTCTACGTAATCTATTAAGGTTTCTAGTGACACCGCGCATTGCACCCAATCCAAGGCATTAATGCCTATCTAAGCTTCCCATCTCCATCCGCCATTCCGGTACCTGACTGGAAAATCGTTCGTCCGAATCTTTATCCTACTTGGCATCCCGTAAACCATGCACCTAGGCTTAAACTAGCAGCAAACAAGCTCTTACATGCAAGCTTTCCAGACAAGGGTATTTATCTACAGGCAAAAAGAGAGACCCAAGACTTCCAATCTCAAATGATACCACCGGTAATGGCGGAGACGCGTATATGTGCAAGTCGGTGAGAGGGGAAACAATGAACCTAGCCCTGGGTCATGAATTATTCCGAAGTATCGGCAAGCTGTAATCCACCCATGGATGAAGTTCTCCATCAAAGCTTGGATTCGTATTTAAACCATAAAGCACCCTTCTCGGCCTTTTTCCACTCGCTCCTTTTTTGCTCAAGTCCAATTGTCTTTTCTGTTTTCAATTGACTGCCAAAAGAAGTCTTTACAATGGTTCGCCCGTTATTATTTCTTGCTTCTCTGCTTCCAATCGTCACAGCAAGCTGGAACATCAATAACGAGGCGCATAGACATGCTTGTCAAAAACACTCAAAAAATCCATTGGAAGGCTGTGATTTGCAAAAGACGAAATATGTAGATTTCACCGGCAATAATTCGAGTTTTAAGACAGTACAGTCTGGTATGTAGTTGGAATCCGGATAAGATATTGAGTGAGAAGTGGTAGGGCCGAATTGAGGCTAATCATGAGTGATTGTAGCTGTGGCAAGTTTGCCAAATAATACTGATACATATGTTATCCTTATTGCATCCGGAAACTATACAGAGCAGGTGAGAATTCTGCTTGAATTATTTCTTGGACCCAACCTCTTCATATGCTAACATCGCATTGAAGGTCAACGTCACTCGTCGTGGTCCCACATATTTGCTCGGACAAACCGCAAATCCTCATAATCAATCTGCGAACACCGTCAATATTATCTGGAAGGCGGTTGCTGGTACTGGGGATAATGCTTACACATCCACTTTGACCGTTGCACCGAATCTCAATGCATCATTGACTGGAAGTGGAACGACTGGATTTGCTGTCCCACCAGGAACACCATTCGGATGCACGGATTTTAGAACATACAATCTGAATCTCATCAATGATTTCGTGCCATACTGTGAGTTGCTACATTTCGCAGGGGAGAAGAAAGAGAGGGTTAAAAGATAACTGGAAGGAAGGGAGGAACCAGAAAGAAAACTTTCTAACAAAGTAATAGCTGATGGACCTTCCCTTGCATTGAGCATAAGTTATGCAAACGGTGGCTTCTACTACACCGGCTTCTATAGCTACCAAGATACTGTATGTCCATCTACCTGCTCATCACCCTCCCCATTCCTTCAAACTAACACATCCAAGGTTTACGTAGGAAAACTATCCAACTCCTACATGTCTCAATCTGTTGTCGCCGGTCAGACCGATTTCTTCTACGGCTTCGGAACTCTCTGGGTCACTAACACACAAATCTTACTTCGATCGTGGTATGTAAATCTAAATCCGCCTTGAAACAAGAAGCTGACCTTTCTCAGTGGTGGAGGAATTACTGCGTGGAAAGGAACCAACACGACTTTCGAGAACAAATATGGAGTGTATATTGTAGATTCAACTGTGCAGAAAGCAAATAGCAGCTTAAGCATCCAAGGCAAATGTCCACTTGGCAGACCTTGGGTACGTTTTCCCCACAATCGATACCCTCTACCAAGAAGCTAGCTAACCATAATTCAACAGAATGCACAAATGCGATCTATCTTTGCCCGTACCTACCTCGACGATTCGATTCTCCCCGCAGGTTATATCGACTGGGCTCCTGCCCGCTACAATGCCAACAATGGTAACTACAGCACCACCCAAGCTGAATATAAGAATTATGGCCCGGGATACAACGCAACTGCACGAGCTCTTTCGTTGTTTGATGTCCAATACAATGACAGCCAGTGGGCTCCTTACAGTAGTCCAGCGGAAGTTTTCCAGGATCCTGAAGGAAAATTTGGGGATGTGAGCTGGGTAGATTTCAACGTTTAGTTTAATTGGCGAGGAGAGAGATCGAGTTACATGATGAAAGTATATATAATGTTAAGTAAAGAATTGATGATTTAATAAAAGCTGTTTCTGTAGAGTATGGAGGTATATTTTATGATCCAACCGTTGGTTGCTTGCTCACCCTTACTTAGCACCGCTAAGTGGCATAACTACCAGAAAAATATCAGAATCTCGATTGAGATCTAAAATCAATCGGATTCGGAAGTTTCGAGATAATTCAAGAGAACTGAATATTCAGAAGTATTTATAGTTGTGGACTCATCAGAGCTAAGATAATAAGTTTTAGATAATTTATTCTTACCATGACGCCCATGACTAAGCAGTGCCTTCCCCATCCCATATCATCAGGAAACCTAAGCTAAGATACCACTAGCGCTACAAAAGCACTTTACGCGACCCTCGATAATCAAATCGCGTTTCCTCGAACAAACAAAGTTATTAAATAATAAGTTACAGTCCCAATTCACCATCGTTCAACAATTTGCCAATAACAACAACAAAAATCTCAAAATGGCTTCTCACAACGATGTTGCAGATGAAAATCCTCCTCAAATCAATCCATACGAAGTTCTTGGTATTGAGAAAACCGCTTCTGAAGATGAGATCAAACGCGCATATCGCAAAAGTGCCTTGAAGCACCATCCAGGTATGTTATAACAATTATTGACACGGCTCTATATTACAAACGCAAAATTCATATGAGCTTCTCTATTTGGGCCTGTCATCATCAAGATAGTTCCAAAGGCCCCCTACATAAAGTCCATCCAGACAACTAACAACCTCCCAGACAAAGCTCCAGAACATCTCAAATCTGATTCGCACATCAAATTCCAAGAAATTGCTTTTGCATATGCTGTTCTCTCCAATCCAAACCGTCGCAAACGCTATGATCGTACTGGATCTACCTCTGAGTCTGTCGATGCTGATGGATTTTCCTGGACCGAGTTTTATTCCGAGCAATACAAAGATGTTGTTACTTCTGATGCCATTAATCAATTCGCCAATGTTTACAAAGGTTCCGATGAGGAGAAAGATGATCTGCTGGCAGCTTACACCAAATACGAAGGAAAATGGGGAAAGATGTATCAAGTCATCATGTTAAGTGATCCGGTCGATGATGAAGAACGATTCCGCGAGATCATAGAGGAAGCAATCAAAACTGGAGAAGTCAAGGAATATGCTGTCTTTAGGAAGGAAACTAAGGCTTCGAAGGATAATAGAATGAAGAAGGCGAGAGCGGAGGAGAAAGAAGCTGCAAAGGCCGCCAAACGAATGGGTGTTGATAAATTGTTGAAGGGATCTGGTGGGGATGTAGCAGAACAAAGTAAGAAGCCAAAGAAAAATGTCCCTGGTCACATGGATGACCTAGCGGCTATTATTCAGGCCAGACAGGCTTCAAGGGGTGGCTTCTTTGATAACTTAGAGGCAAAATATGGCGGAAGCAAGTCGGCAAAGGGCCCTGGTGAGCTGAGTGAAGAGGAGTTTCAAAGAATTCGAAACGGCTTAGGCAAGAGCAAAGATAAAGCCAAGGGCAAGGGGAAGAAAAGAGCAACTGACTCGGAGGATGAAGTTGAGGAAGATGAAAAACCGGCACCGAAGAAGAAGTCATCAAGCGGCAAGAAGAGAGAACCCGCGGAGGTGGAGCAAGAAGATGAAGATGAAGATGTAGAAATGGACGACGTTGGTGATGATTTTCAAGCAGAAGAAGCTGAGGAAGATGAGGAAGAGGTCGAGTCTGAGCCTGAGTCCAAGAAGTCAGCTTCTAAGAAGAGAACAAAGAAGCAACCAACTCGGCAATCCAAGCGCGGCAAAACTACTCGGGCATGATTTTATGAACATGGAAATGGAGTTTGCAAGGATTTGATCTTTTCATATATGGTCGGATGGATACAACATGCATAGAAGAAGGCGTTAATAACTACAATGATTTTTTAATGCGAAGATTTACCCATTTACTTTTAATAGAATTACAACTCTATGGATGTCTATGCACTTGATATGAGTCTTTTATACATCTTCTATTCCATCATAAAGTCCAACTTGAGGCCGAATCGATCGAGCATCCTGCTCTACTAATTGCTTGTTACAATCTTTGATAATTGAAGAATGTGCTACTTGTTTGAGGATATCGCTCACATCTGAACTATACCTCCACCAGTGCTCCTCTTGTAGCAATACTGTCCGTCATCCACACGTGACACAACCTTCCTACGCGTCAACCTCGCGATTTCCATCCCCACTTTCGCCTCTCACCTCGGTCGGTCCATTGATCAAAACACCAAAACAGTTCACACACACGAGACTCGATCGCAAAGAATAAAACTAAAAATAATCCAACAATCAGATTAAACTTCCCACCCGTCACTATTCAACACAAACCCTAGATATCAATCGCATACAACCATTCCCTTCATTTCCGCATCGCACCATGCTCCAAAAGAAAATGTCATGACATCCTCCTCATCCACATCTGCCGTCGCGCCTCTCTTACCACCATATCTGTATGATCTCTCGCCTACCATCCATAAATGGTGTGCGTTGCGCTGTGCAGATATTATTTCATTGACTACTCGGGGGGTATATTTCGAAGGTTTGTTTATTTCTTTCTTTCTCTCTTCATCTTTTTGTAACATTTCTCGATTTCCGATTCTCCATCTTCCCACCTCTCGTGGACCGGAGTTCGTCAGGATAAATCGCACAAGAGCGCTATGATATCAAGAGAATAATCAGCTAATTTCTTCCCCCAAAACCAAAAGACAAACTGATCCACCACTACCTCAACCATCCCATCCGCTACATAAAACTCATCGGGCTCGTCGTCTCCATCGATACTTTTGCCCGTCGTCGCGTCTACACCATCGATGACTCGAGCGGTGTGTGTATAGAATGCGTGGCACTCTTACCTCTCCCTTCCTTGGAAGCTGCTTCAAATTCAAACTCAAATTCAAATTTAAATTGCCATCCTCCTTCCAGTAGCAGCCCCTCCATCACCACCCCCCAAATCCCCTGGAACGACATCACCGAGTGCAAAGTCGTGCGCATCCTGGGGATTGTGGGATCATACATGCAGGTTCCGCAATTGCAGATTGTGAAGATGGGGATCGTGGGGAGTACGGAGGTGGAGAGGAAGTGGTGGGATGAGTGTCGAGAACTCAAGGATCCGGAGAGGGGGTTTCTGGGAAGGGAGTGGGTGGTGGGGAGGGAGGAGATGGAGAGGTGGAAGAGGAGAGAGAGGAGGAGGAAGGCGAGGGAGGAGGAGAAGAGGGGTGGGGGGAGAGATGGTCGGGCCGGGAAGATGAAGAGTGGGAATGGGAATGGGAGTGGAAGAAGAGAGGATACCGAGAGAGTTGAAGAAAAGCGAGAGCTGCTGGCGAGGAAAAAGATAACAAATCCCCAACCACGTCCTTCAACCAATCCCTCTCATTCCACATCCACATCCACATCCAACCCCCACCCCTCCCGTCCTCCCCACGAAACCTCCCCCAACAAACCTCTCCCCCGCCCGCCTATCAAAAAAAGATTCATTCCCACGATCCTCCCCGACCTATCCACCTACGATACTTTTGGCTACTAACACAACCTCCTCTATCCTATAAAGAAAATCCCTTTCAGGAGAATAAAACACGTGAAAGAAATCCCAAACCACGTATTCCGATGAATAGGTAATTAAATGTGATTTGTTTGTCTGCCTCACTTGGGTTATCATGTATATCCATATCCACAATACAAACCACAAAACATGAAATAACGTCTATACAATCCGCAACAAGAAACACGAGAAATAAGATATCAGAAGTGACATCACCTCACATCCTCACATCCTCACATCCTCACATCCTCACATCCTCACATCCTCACATCCTCACATCCTCACATCCTCACATCCTCACATCCTTACATCCTCTAGCCGCATAGCCTTCCTTCCTTCATTCATCCATCGAAGGGGCTTTAGCGAAGAAATCACATCACACTTAGAAAGCAATTAGAAAGCAAGATAGATAGATAGATGGAGGAAGGAGTCTGTCAGGATGAATGAAGATGGATATGATGATGTTGAAGAAAGAATATGAGGATATGAAGGATAGATATAATTAATACACTATTCCTTCGGTGAAGATTGTGGATTTGTCTAGGGAGATGAAGGAGAAGAAGAAGAAGGAGAAAGAGGTGATGACAGAGGGATAAGTGAGACATGCACCTATTGTACAAATTGGAAACTCTCTAATGGGGCAATGGATTGTATATTTCAAGTCACATATTTACATACACACATACCCATGCCTGTTCCCCTAAAACTTCATTGAGCTCAACGTATTGTATTACTCGTAAAGTATCTATCATACACAGAGGTAATGGCTTCGCAGCTCCGAGCTATTGTTACAGTTCATCCACTGCTCATCCCAGCAACCCTATCATAAAAGCCTTCCCCAAGTCCCATTATTTTTTTTAGTAAAACAAAGCAATGTTAAAATGTGCCGCCTTCTCCATCTCTCCACCCTATGGATTCTCGATATCTACCTTTCATATCCAGCGCTAAAACGCCATTACCATAATTGATACAATCAATGCCAACCAACACACGCCATACATCACAATTTCGGATTAATATCCTGCCAAAGCCTTCACTGATCTGACGACAGTTCCTCCAATTTCACCTGCTCCAGCAGACTCATCTGGGTATACCAAAAATGCGAGAGCAATAATAATGTAGAGACCAAGAAGCTATGTAAATATTAGTAAAATTGAAACGTGATTTCGATTCCAATCAAAACTTACCATGCAACCTTCCAAATAATTACTCTTGCCATCTTGAACCACATAGGTAACAACCAAAACACTCAAGAAGAAAACAACGGTTTCAAAGGTCTCGAAATGTAAAGTCATAGGTTTATCAATGATCCAACCCAAGATCACAAGGAATGGAGTGACGAAAAGTGCGATTTGCATGCTCGATCCGATGGCAACACCCATTGCTAGATCCATCTTGTCCTTGACGGCAACCACAATAGCTGTTACATGCTCTGCTGCATTACCGACAATTGGAAGAAGAATAAGACCAACGAAAGTTTTGGAGATGTGAGCTTTCTCAACAATCGAGTCAATCGAATCAACCAAGTAATCAGCACAGACAGATACCGCGATCGTTACAATAACGAGAACAGCAGCAGCAGCCCATGGACTCATTTGTGGTACTTCCTCCTCCTCTCCTGCTGATTGACTTTCGGCATCAAATAGGTTGGAATGTGTTCGAAGCTGGAAGAACAAATAAAGACAGTAGAGAATTAATAGAATGATGGCTGTTCCGTGAGAGAGAATCAAAATGTTGGTTTCAGTGTCTGCTGATGATTTACTGAGAACAGAATAGAGCTTGCTAAGAGTTAGATTTTGTTGCAGTGATATTGGATTTCAGCTTACAGTGGCGGGTATAATCAATGCGCATGCGGCAAGAACCATGAGAGATGACATTGTTCCGGCGACAGTATCGTTAAATCTCTGCTCGATGCCCATAGATGTACCAGTGCGAGTGTTATGAATTCCACCAGCAATAAAGCAGCATCCCAACACAAGAAGGGAGTTCGACAAGATACTACCCAACATACTCGATTGAACGATTCGAATTTGTCCTTCTTTCAATGCTATGATACTGACCTGCGAGGTTCGATATTAGTAAGTGAAAAGTAAGATGTGACACCTGAACCTACAATGAGTTCCACAGCGTTGCCGAACGTTGCGTTCAGTAAACCTCCCAAAGTTTCCCCCAACTTCATGGAGATTTCTTCTGTCGCAAACGAGAGGATGGAAGCCAATGGGATGATAGCGAAGAAGTTGAGTGTGAAGATGACGACCGGATCCCAGTGTGTGAGGCCTGCAACGATACCCAGTGGTACAAAGATCAACAGAACGTTAACATAGCTACTATACAAAGTAACTTTTCCTACATGCCATGCCGATGCCGAGTAGCTAACCATGACATTGTCGCTGTCGGTTCCTGGTGTATGTCTCTTGCTGAGAAAGAATTCATGAACACTGCTCTTACGTCTGTCTCCGGCATGCCCGTTGACGCCCAACAGACGCGAGGTTTCGTCCACTCCGTTTGACATATTTCCTGAGTTGACTCGATTGTTTGGTGATGGAAGGGATCTTACACGCGCGAGTTCCCTTCGGTATTTAGGTTGTGCTACATGTCAAAGAAGATATAAAGTTAGCCCAGCCACTCCGTATGTATATTCGATATTGAAATTGCAATGCGCCGCAGCCAACTTAAGCTTCGAAGAAGTCCCTTGGCAATTCGCTGGCAGATTGACAGGTGGGCCAAAGATACCACCAAATTAAGAAAAAGGATTTAGGTATCGACACGAGGCAAAGGAGTATTACTTGGCTTCAAGCGTTTAAGTCTTTTGATCTGAGCAATTGACCTGTGATGGAGACGACACCAAGGTTATATTGGGCTGTGTGATACCATTCAAGTATGGAGCGCGAACGAGAAATGTAACAAAGGGCTTGGATCAAAGACCCGACTGCAGGTGCCTGTATCAACGTCTTACTTGTAATATGAGATTGGCGAGTCGATAAACCATCAAACTCTCAAAGAGGAAATAATCTTGTAAATTGAATTTCGGAAATGAATATCTTCCACCAGAGAGCAAAGGAAAGGAGGAGGGGAGGATAATTTGTTTACTTACAAACCATCTTGGCAAAATTCTCTTTTTTTTTCTTCTCGCAAACCACACAGAGAATATCAATGCCTATACGAAAGAAAAATTTAGAATTTTGGGGGGAAACAAGTTGCACGAAAAGGGTAATTGGTTAAATGGGAAGGACAATAATGGATTTGGGTTGGGATCATGAACGTTGGTTGTGCGCGTGGTTATCGAGACTCGGGCACACTTTTTCGACGCTTTAGCTTTGACGGTGCGGGCAGCGGGAAGAAAAGGTTCCCAGTGCTTTTTGCCAGGTGCTGCGCCTCCTTTTGAGTGGAGGAGGTTTGATCACAACTTCTGGGTACACTGGGCAGGCGAGACTGGTGGTAGGTCCCGAGATGATAGTCCCTTGTTGATGACGATGATGAGGAGGATGGATGGATGGATGCACGTTGTAACTTGATGTTGATCAAACCCCGACCGCAATGTGATGAAAGTATGGAGGACAAGCGTTTCAAGAGAATTATGGATGTTTGCTCTGGAGGATGAAACCGAAGAAGCCCGTCACGACCAAGTAGAGGAAAGTTGAGTGGAGAGGTGGAGAGGTGGAGAGAAAGAGGAGAGAAGAGAAAGAGAGAGAGAGAGAGAGAGAAAGAAGAAAAGACACGATGTAATCAATCAATCAATGTACGAGAAAACAGAAGAGAGAGGATATGGAATTGGATATGGATATGGAATTGGAATTGGAATTGGAGTAACAAACGATAATTGCAAAGGATGAATCCTCTTACCTAGGTACCTAGGTATGTAGGTATTTTGAGTTTCTAAGAAGCAAGTAAGTAAAGTAAGTAAGTACCTGTGTAGATGAGATGTGTGGATACCAGTATGTGGAATGTATGTATGTAGGTGTGTATGTATGTATGTATGCAGGTATGTATGTTTGTATGTAGGTACTAGGTAGGCAGGTATGACTTTTGTGATATTAATTTTGTGGAAGGAACGAGGGAACGAAGAGAGATATGTAGATGCAAATGGGAATGGGAATGGAGCTTTAGCTTATTGTCGTGAAAAGCATGGTGATTGTATTGTGTAGTACGGTACGGGGACTGCCTTTTCCAGAAGTTGCCTGTGCCAAGATTTATATCCAAACTTTATTTCATTCCGTGGTACGAAAGAATCCGGACTAGATCGATGGCTCGAGGATTGGTGACGGTGATGGTTGATGTTGGTCAGTGGTGAGAGGGTTTGTGTGTTGGGACCGTGTGTGATTTACGAATCATAATCTGTATACGGAGTAAGAGGGTTGTAGGTACTAGATAGGTTTATATCAAGTTATCAACATACTACCGTAGTAATCAATAGAGATCCATGGATTCGTATAATTAATTCATCCATCACTTCCCAGGTATCCAATCAACGCATCTTCATATCCTTCATCCATCCATCACATCTGCATACCAAGAACCAGATAATCCCAACCGTCAAATACCGACAACAGATCCATCCCAGAGGAACAGCACCAACAGAAACCTGACAAACCACGCCCTTCACCAATTCCAGGTAGAAGCTATGACCAACCTCCATCACCATCTGACAGTGACTATCACTCACTCGAGCCATTTCGACAAGCATCATCAACATCATCATCTCGCATGTCGACTAGGTACTTTTGACGATTGCAGATGATTGGTGGGTGGAGTGATGTTTAAATTATCGATGGAATTGGGAATCTGCTCCGGGGGATATACATCAGCCAGACACGAGAACGACAGTATGTACTGTAATACTTTGCAAGTCATCGTACAGAAGAGGGACCAGATATCTAATATTGAACATCTACCTACGTATCAGTATAATCATAATATAGAAAACCAACAAACAAGCTTCGATATTTGTAACCTCCCTATGCATTCGAAATGCGCATATAAATTGTAACACAATATAACATAACATTACCTCGAGATTACCTCTCACAACCTCTCACAACCTCTCACCCATAGATATCGTAGATTACACCAAAACCTGCACAGCCCCCTCACAAAATATCCGACCCTCTCCTCTATCCTCTATCTCTCCACCCCAAACCCATCTAATTCGTCAATTGACAAAAAGTGGCTTGAAAGTTGATACTCCGTACATACTACACACCTACTTTCTGCGACCAGCTGGCATCCTGAATCAATCGCATGTGCTTGCTTGCTTCCAGCTTGCTTCTCTAGTATTTATCCAAAGCTTTCCTGGAGTGATACCGATACCTACCTACTTGCCTGTGATAGGTAAGGAAGAACTTCACAATTTCACAAACCCATTCATTCATGGAATGAGGCATTTAATTTACTCGTTCACACCGTCACACGAGTTGCCAATCTATCTATTCATCATCTATCTATCTTTCTATCTTTCCATCTATCTATCCATCCATCCATCCATCCATACCTAGATACCATATAAATATGAATAACCACACACACATACAACCACACAATACACACACAACACCACACTCCCAAATTATCCATCCATCCCGATTCCATTCCCAAGCACTTACTTTCTACCCACCCATCCCTCATCCCTCCCTACAAATAAGCACATTTCGCCAATTTTCTCAGCGCCCCTTTTTCTTTTCGCGGTTGCTTGCAATAATAATTATAATTCTTCTCATCTCTTCTCATCTCATCTCTTCGTAAGTAAGTACTTAAAAGTAAGTAAGTACTCAAGTACTCAAGTATTCCCTTGCCTTGGATATCTTCTACGCGCGAATACATATTCGACATACATATGATACCGGTATCTATTTTATTGATCACTACTAGATACACTTACACTACTAGATATACAATCTATCCCGCAATTTCTATTCCTCATAGTGATTAAGTAAGTTAGTAGGTAGATACTCTGTTCTCTGTTCTGTTCTCTGTATATCCTACTCCCACCCCAAACTTCTCCCCCCAAACACCTCTCGAAAATCTAGACCTCCCTTCCCTTCCAGACTTTTCTATCACTCCCCATCCCCCCACTCCCCCCAAACCAAGCCTTCACCATCACCATCTCAAACCAATAGCCATCGCCCAATAAAATCCGTTACCAACCAAGCCCGCCCTAATATCATCCATTGGAATTGAGCTTACCTTACCTTACCTACCTACCTCACCATACCGCACACATGCATTGCATTGCAGCGTGTATAGCAATTACACCATTCCACCATTCCACCATAGAATATTGAAATGTATTTATGACGAGTGAGAGATTTCTACCCAGATATAAACAGACAGGTCGATCATAACCCCCCCCTCCCCTCGCAACCCCCCCCTCTTAGGTAGGTTTTGAGAACAATGAGATAGATACCTACCATAGGTAGATTGAAAAAGCGAGATATAGTGCGTGGCGAGGTATCAAAGATGGCTTTTTTTTAAATAAAAAAAATAAAAATTTGGCACATACTCATGACTTCACATTCAATAACACTATCTAACAACAAGACATAACAAATAAATGAACCGATTACAATTTTCATTCAGCTAGGATTGTTGAAAGACGTCCATCTAGAGTAGTGGTATTTCCCTCCTAAACGCCCACGCTACGCCCCGTTGTCAAACTATCCCATCCCAACCCATCCGTTTCAACTCTTCGCCGATTTTATGCTGCCTCTTTCAAGATACCCAACCCAATTAACTTTTCCTTCCTCTTCCTCTAAACCCTTTTTCTTTCCTCGTCTCCACTGCTATACGCTGCATCTTCCTCTTCCCTATTCACTTCACTTTGTCTCCGTCTAATTTGTCCCCTCTCCTTCATCGCACCGCGAATCTTCTGACTGACCTCATCAAAACTAGCTTTGCCATCCAATGCACTGAAGCTTTTCAATGGGAACCCCGCTGACCCTACGGCACCACCACTACTGCTACTACGACTTCTACTCCTGGATGGTGGTCGAGTTGCAAATAGTGCAATGTTACCGAGATTGCCAAATGACTCGTTGCGTGGAAGATGTCCATTCATACTAGAGCCGCCGCCAATAGATGCACCTGCAGTATTGCTCCGGTGAAGAACACGTGGTGGCGATTCATCCGAAATGCCCGATTGATTACTACCGCGACGTAGATCGGTTTGACGAGGTGAAGTGGGAGTCTTAGCCTCATCACGATTGAAGGGGTCAGCTACGATTCTGGAAGCATCGAAATCAGGAAACATTTCAGGGCCAAGTGTATTGATCACATCTGTAACCTGTGCGCTGAGTTGTGCTCTGCGCTCGCGTAGTTTAAAGATGACATTGCTAGAAGATGGGTTAAGAGCCACGATTAATGGTCGCAATGATTTAGCAATATCCATGCCAACTTCTCCGAATCGAAGGGCTGCAAAGGTAATAGCTGGGAAAAGAATATATCCGAAAACGAAGATAGCGTAGAGGGGTACCCATTCGGGCACATATCCTTGAACTCTGTTCTTGTAAGTCCAATATGCGAGGATGATGGTATAAAAGTTGTACAAAATCGGTGCAAAAGCAAGGGCAACCAAGAGTTTCCATGTTGCCATAACATCCCGTCCTTGAAGTTTGACCGTGGAAGCAGCCAAAGCTTCCTTCGACTTCTTGATGCTAATAATTTTGGAAGCTATGAAAACTGGTGCAAATAAGACAAGCCCTGGAATGACACCAATGGATAAGACAGCTAGTTTTCCCAGGCGATAAAATAAAAGGAATACGGCTTTTGGAACAGAAAACTTGGCATATTCGACTTGATGATCCTTAAGATTCATATAACGTAGTTGTCTGTTGTAGTCCAAAACGGATTTCTTGAGTGAAACAATTCTTGGATCATCCTTGTAATGCGTATAACCCTTAACCAGTCTTCGATTTAACTCGACTACCATAGGGAGTGGAAGCTTCTTGCCAGTTGGGTTATAGAGTCTTCGAGCGGCTTGGATAAGCATGAGGGTATCGTAGTCAGGACTTGTAACAGTGACAGCAACAAGGGCTTGGTATACAATATCCAATAGTTGGCTGACTGCCCCTCTTCGGTCTCCACTTTTGTAGAGCTCGACAAGCTCTTTTGGAACTTCGATGGGATTACCAAACTCAATCACGGCTCTTGAGCGAAATTTATGGGCATGGAAATAATTCATGCCACATGGTACAATCTGAAGACCGCTATCGGGATTTGCAGCCAAAGATCCAAGAGCCATAATAGCCACACCAGCTTTCAAGGGAAGCAATTCGGTCCTGTCGTGACTTCCACCTTCTGGGAAAATGCCAACAGCTCCACCACCCTTGAGACGATCAAAGACGGCATCATAAACCTGGGTTTGATCAACTTTCGGGGCAGTCTTATATTTTGATCCTTCAAAACCTTCTTTGGTACCCTTGACAGACTGGTCACCAAACTTGCCATTTTCGTCAACATCAGTTCGTCCAGTGAGCTGTATCATAGCATTTCGACCTTTGAAAGGTTTCTTCAATCTCATTTCCTCTGCGCTAATTACTTCCGCTATTTCGGTATTGGCTGCGGTCCCGTCCATTGTAGGCAGAACCAGTAATCCTCCAACTTGTACTTCCTTGCCGTCGAATTTTGTACCAACTCCACGAATGAGGAGCGGATCATTGATAGGGTCTGGTAGATATATTGTACCAGATCCAGGCTTTACCATATCCAGAGCTCGTCCAACGGGAACCGCGCCCACTTTTCGTGCAAACCAGCCCACGATGAATCGACCCATAGATTTGGCGGCGATAAGAAAAGCGGCGCGACGATGACATTCATTTCGGAGGGTGCGCATTAGAATAAGAGGGTCAACGAACTATATAAATGGGTTAATTCAAGAGTTCCAAACCTACAAAAGCCATCTGTCGCATACCTGATTTGCATGAGGGGCTGCTACGAAGATAACAGGCCCGCGCCTTGGAACTTTCCATGCTCCTCTTGGGTGGACTTCTCGAAAGAAGAGGTCGACGAGTATTGAAAAAGTCCACAGGAATACATCGTATATCCAGTTTGTCATAGGAAATTGTTCCTTGTGCTTGTCCTTTCGAGGCATGTGTTCGTGAACCTGCTGCTCGTTGGCCATGATGGCGGAATGTAGATCAGAATGCCCAGTGCAGAGAAGTAAAGAAGTTCTTAAAAAGTGCGGGGTGGGAGGTCCGAGTTATTTATTTCGTGTATCTGTTAAACAAGATCGGATTTTAGTCTTGATTGTTCAATTGTTCAACCGCAGCTCAATGATTTCATTCGGGTATCAGAGCACCAGACACGGCGATTTTCGGGATTGATTAGGGTTCCAAGATTTCCTCAGGTATTTGTTTTTGTAGGCCTAGTGAGTCGTAAGAATCCCAAAGTCATATCGGCCGAAAAAAATAAAACGGGTCAAATATTTCAAATTCAGTGATATTTATGAAATGAAAAGAAGCAATGAAGCGGCGGCGGGTAACAATGGAATGATTTTCTTGATTTAGTAAAACTACATTTTTGCATTTTTTTAACGGAACCGGATTAAATTCCACACCCGTTCGTAAGCGATAAGCGCTGCAGCTCCAGCTCACTCTTTCGATGGAAAATCCCCGTTGACAATCCCATTGACAAATAAAATGTTATTACGAGTATGGAGGATATCAATTGCCATGATGATAATCCCTTAGCGTAGAACCAATGGTTGCCTCTTGAAATTATATGATTTTCCCATGCATACGATGACTGACTCCTCCCCTCCCTGCGGATTGATCTCCAGATTTGATGGACAGCTTAACAAATAACCACAACTATGACCATAACTACCTCCTACTACAGTACCAAGACTTTCAACGCTCGTTATCATATCTGAAATCACGTGCGAAGTCTGGAAGACATGCAAGAGGATGCACAAAGTCTATCAGCGGCGCTTCCAAAATCCAACCATAGGTATACCTACCTGAGTAAACCCCAACCAACGAAGGATTTCAATCAATTGTTGGAATATAAATTATAATGGAGGCTTGTCACTTTCTCCCAAATACATTCCTACCCTGGTGGATTATATTTGACCTCAGCCTTTTCTACCTTGTGTTTGTGGAACGAAGCGCCTAGGATAGATAGGATGATTTAGTCGATTTAATTTGATGGGGGAGCAACAGCCATATGTACAAGTTGCTCCCTACAATTTCAATCCTGTTCACCCTCCACATTTTATATACCAATTAACCACGAAAGCTCAATAAAATGGGTTTACCACCATGGGAGACAAGTGAAAGTCAGACTTTTGCTTTGGTAACAGGCGCAAACAGGTACTTTCATCCCCAAGCTGTTTTCATTATTGACAATGAGCTTCGAGATTCTCGATTCTAATCGTTGACAACTCTCTAGCGGTCTAGGGTTTGCCATTGCTTCCAGATTAATCGATGAATTTCTGACTTCATCCGATACTCCTCCTGCTAAACATTTGATTCTTATCCTTTGCACACGTACACCGCTGAAGACACGATTCACAATCTCTCGCCTGCGTGCCCATCTACGAAAACTGGTCGACTACTCCGCATTCGCAGATTCACAACGAGCGAGAGCTAAGTCTCAGGGAAATGTATATAGATGGCAGGATATGGTGGCTCGAGTTCATTTTCTTGGGGTTGAAGTCGACTTGTGTGACTTGAAAAGTGTATATGCCCTTACCGATAGGCTTGTCAATGGAACTATTGGGAGCCCAGATGCTACTACAATGGATGGTCACCGATTACCTGATGGCTCCCCTGGTACCGCCACTTATTCCGCAGATGTTAAACAAGATAGATGGGCATTGAGCCAGAAGGAAGGGTCTGATGGCGAGCAAAGATCTTGGGGATGGGGATTGAGCGGAATTAGGATACCAAGGTTGGATGTCATAGTCTTGAATGCAGGGATAGGCGGATGGTCAGGAATCGATTGGCCAAAGGCTATATGGACTGTCTTGACAGATATGACAGAAGCTGTAACATGGCCGACTTACAAGCTTGCGGAAGTTGGTGCTATAACCAAACCTCAATTATCCTCTGCCTCTCCAAAACAAGCCAAACCCTCGGACGATGAAGCTACGCAGCCTTTGCTCAACGGCGAAACTCCAGAGGAACCACCTCTCGGGGCAACATTCTGTTCTAACGTTTTTGGTCATTATGTTCTCGCACATGAATTGATGCCTTTGCTATCACGAACATCTTCTCCTTCGGCGACTACCAGCGGAAGAATAATATGGGTATCTAGTATCGAGGCACAAGCACAACATTTTGATGAAGATGACTTACAAGGTTTGGAAAGCCGCACGCCATACGAAAGCTCCAAGCGTCTTACAGATGTTCTCGTCCTTTCGAGAAAACTACGAGCAGCAGGCAAAGCCTCCTCTTCATGGTTCGATTGTTCCGACGTTCACGTGGAGAACTCCGAATCGGAGGAAGAACCGCCAGCAAAATTGATAAAACCTAAAATGTACGTGGTTCAACCTGGAATTTTTGTTTCGGAAATCATGCCCTTGAATATCGTGTTGGTATTTATCTACAGATGGATCTTCTACCTTGTAAGATGGATGGGAAGTCAATGGCATACCATCAAACCTTACACTGCTGCTGTAGCACCAGTCTGGGTAGCATTATCTCCCGACGAGGTTCTAGATAACATGGACGGGACAGCTTCGAAATGGGGATCAGCTACAGATGCAAGTGGGAAAGAGCGTGTTATACGAACCGAAGTTCCTGGTTGGGGATGGGAAGGTAAAACTCCAAAGACAATTGATACCGGAGAGAGAAGAAAGGGGAGACAAAGAGATGCGGTACCATTGACAAGGGAAGCGAGAGAGGATTTCGAGGTCTTGGGTGTCAAGTGTTGGACGGAGATGGAGAATTTGAGGAAAGAATGGGAGGGACTTTTGAAAGTTAAAAAGTGATCGTGTTGAGAATTATTACAGTTCTATGAGAGAGATTGGTAGAGGCTATAGTTGGCTGTATATCATTTACAATATAATAGATATGACTAATAAACAATTTCCTGTTAATCCCTCTTATGTGTATCTATCATCTCGCTCTTTACAACAGCGAAAGAGACGTTAGAGATGAGATACACATGCAGAGTATATAATATATGTGTTTTCATGATTTTGAACTCCATGTTTCTGAGAAGAATATGGACATAATCAGAATATTGATGACTAAATGTTGAAGTCGAATTATGATAAAAGCAATAAAATCTGGGTTTCCTTGCACATCTTAATCCCTTACAACCTCCTTGGGGTTTAGATTTAGCTGGCTCAAAGTACTAGCCTAAGAATAAGACCACCAGTGGACTCGAAGACGAGAGGAAGGTGATGCTTAGTTGCGTATCTCATCTGCTCGATCTCATTATTATCTTTACCGTGGGGTTTGGATGCGAATCGCGCTAGTGTGTGGTTGGCAGTTAGAGTGTTATTGCTAAAGGAGTTTGATTGTATGGCTTAGTTTCATCTACCTGGTGTGTTGTTTATGGTTCTCTAAAGTTGAGATTAGGAGTGGGGAATGGGGAGTGGGGAGAGGGGGTGGTTTCTTTTTTGATATGTCTTCGGCGTCGCTTTTTCTCCTCTTTGGTTTAGTGCGAGGGGAGAGGCGAAAGGCGAAGGCTAGGGGGTTGGCTGGGCTGGTTGTGTATCTTGAACTCGCAAAATTTTGTCTTTTTCGGGACTAAGGCTTGATCGTTGACATCTGGTGATTGGGAGGTACTATGGAGGGTTTGCTGCATGTTAAGAAATCGCTGTATATATCGTTTACATGTATCTCGAAATCGCAAAAGAAAGAAAAAACGAAAAGGAAAGAAAAAACGAAAAGGGGGCTTGTTAGGACTGTCAATACTCATTGCGGATTGTAAAAATATGCACGTCATAGACAGTGAAGGAATTTATGGATCGAACTTGAGAGTTCGAGGGATGAAGAATTTAGGGTTCGAGGGAGAACGACGTCTGTATTGTTTTCGAGCTCACCGGTGGTTAGAAACTGGGGAAACCTGCTTAGAATGAGTGCGAGCTCTGGGTCTTGTGATATGCAGATCTTTGCTTGAATCATTAAATTGGATGTTCGGAACTGCTCTATGTGGTGTAGAAAACGTAGCTAGATACTCTGTTTAGTTCGAGGAGGTTGTTTGGGATAGAGATGTTGGGTTTAGAGGGCTTGTGTTCTATGTTTTCTCACGGGAAGATTTAGCGAAAAGGCTAGTAGTCTTGAGGATCTCAAGTACCGTTTTGATAGAGGGAAGAACTCTAAGAGAAATCATGATGTACCTATCTCCTTCCAAGCCTTCTGGATATCATGTCGCAGATTATGGATAGATGGGAAGTCAGTTCATGTACAGGATTCAGTCGGGTTCTGAGCTCATTGATAACTTCAGCGACATTTTCCTAGCAGATATGTGTGTCTGTGGCAAGCCGCGATTGAGAATAAATGATCAAGTCGCGTTGTGACACTTAATGGCCGTCTGTTTTCAAATACTTAATGATACTAGTAGCAGTATGTATCTAAGCATTAGATGAAGCCATCTTGAAAAACACACCATCAAGGGAAATTCCCGACATGATAAGAGGAGAGTTCAACACAATGGCCTGTGATCAGACTCTCTACAGTATTGAGGAAGCTTCAGCTAGACTTCTTAGTATTCCCCGAGTTCTCATCGCTTTGACTCCTACTATGCAGCCTTTCAATAAGGGATCTGAAGTTCTGGAAAGACATCTATGTACCCAATTATGAGTTTCTGCCCTCTTGATATCCAGTAAAGTTTGAACTTGCATTCCCTTCAATTCGTCCAAGATATCGAATCACAACCTCTGATTGTCTATACTGATACTCTGCATTATACTGTTGCTCTCTTAACCATCCGCTTAGAAAATATCATATCCAGTATTAAACAGTACATCCAAAAGTACTCTCCATTCAAAATATCAACCCGAAGATACATCTTCACCCCCCACCCAACCCCATCAATTCACTTGCACTCACCCCATCCATCCATCAAGATGCAATGGGGTCCACAAAACCCGCATTCCCTTACGGTAACATATCATTCTCCCGTCTAATATGCATAAGTATACGCACAAAAAGGCAATACGGCAGACATCGCTTCGTTTGCCCCTTGCCTGCCCTGCATAGATAGACAGGTATGAATGATATTTATATTCCCGGACTTTCAGCCCCTAAGTACCACGTCACATTAGCGAAAACGAAATCCCACGTTTGCGCTGCGATGCCGCTGCAACGATGGTGAATGTTGACGACAGATCTCGACGACAATTTAACTATTCCGTGTATTTATGAAATTGTGTAAATATCACATGTATTACGTACCTCTCCGATTCTAAACTATGATTTCCTTTCGCGATCCGTAGCTGAGCTGGATATATACATCCTAGTACGCGGGAAGAAAAATAGATGAAGAGCTGAATGTGGTGGGTGCAGGGACTGAGCTATTTATATACACATCCGTGTAACCATTCTTTTGCGATGATGTTATTTATAAGATGTCTAGTAAAAGCCATCCTTTTTTTTATGAATACATATAACTAGTTGAAATGCGGGAATGTGGTTTGTATGGATATGAGTTTATGTGATTTTGTAATGTTGTGATTAGAAGGGAGGGCTCGAAGAAGACACTGGGTTTAACAGGGTGGAGTGTTTAATTTTATGCACGAAATGCGATATAACTATACTTGCACTGTTCTAAAGTTTGAATACTAAAATTCTCATAAAAGATCTTCCAGTTGTTGTAGTCGGCGAAATCTCAACACTTAGCTTCCTTGATGCAATATCACATCAGATAAACTCCGAAGTATACTTACCCCCCACAAAAACCAATCAATCTCAAATTCCGGCGCACCACTCTAGAAGTCCCAAACTATCAAGAAGCGGGACGGAATGTAGAAGTGCTGCATATATACTATACACCATGTAGCATATGTATATGAGATGCAAGCATGAAACTCCACATATACAAAGCTGATCGCCGATATATCTTTCATTGAGAATGAGCATGATTTGGCGTAATCAGCGACGATCTTCCATATGGATGTGGATGTGGATGTTGATAGTGAAAGCTGGAAAGGATTCGAGATCCATGCACACTGGACAAGTTTACAACCCTATGCTACGCCCGATGGAGAAGGAATATGAGGGATGTTGGGACGGTTAAATAGTATGGTGGGTGGCTGGATGTGGCTGGATGTGGCGCAGAGAGTGATTTAATGTTGCTGTTGTTGTTGTCGTTAGTGATGATGTACAAGGTGAGACGGTGGTAGAACGAAAAGTAGACCGGAGACCTGAAAAAGGATGCGTTGGGGAAGAGAGCGGAGCGAGGCAGACGAGTAGGTCGGATGAGTAGGTCGTGCGGTATGGAGGTTAGTAAGAAGGTGAATTGATGGGCCAGAATCTAGAACGTGCGAAGCTTTTAAGTAGAAATAGATGGCATGTTGTAAGTACTAAGGTATATTAAGTTTATGATTAAACTTGGGCCATTGTTCTAGACCTGGATAGAATACATCATTATAGTTTTGTAGGGTCAAATGGTGAGGAACTTGTAGGAAGCGTGCTGGTTGGAAATGATTGTTTGCTTGGGTAATGAGGTCATATGATACCGAGTCGCGACTTCCTACAGATTGTGATGTGATAAGTAGGGTTATGACTGTTGGTGATGGTGATGGTTTCTGAGGATGCGCTAATTGTGGAATGGGGTGAGGGAACTGGCACCAATTGTGATGGGAACTAAAAGTTTCTGGTCTAGATTGGCAAAAGTTTTAGATAACAAAGAATGCAAAGTTCTGGTGCATTGAGACAATTAGGGGCACAGTTGTCTAGACCATTCTACAGAACTGATTTTGTCTCGCTTCTCACTCACCAGGCCAGACGCCAAATAAAACCATCGTGAATGTGACGCTTTAAAACAGTACCCTTCGCATGTAGCATAATAGCACAGAACGCAAACTCGTGGCAAGATGGGCAGTCAGTGGATTTTGGAATGTATCAGCAATTGCTATATGCTAGATATCATATTCCCTTCTAATATATCTTGTTACTCCTTCTCAGACGGTATTTCCGGATCTTGTTATTTGTCACAATTAACAATACATAGCACGTACAACAAAGTGCGGGGAAATTTTAGCGGACACAAAATCATCAACTTGAGCCGGAAGACTACTCTAATGATATGTATTCGGAATCACCGTGGCCATCCTTTTATCTTTCGTTTGTAAAATATTGTACGTAGAAATAAGCTACATGTGTAATGAGCGAATACAAATAAAGATGATCGTCATTGGGTAAAATCCCTTTGCACCACTGTGCCACTTCCTTCACATGTCATGAGGCTACTGTTGTAAAGAAGGATGCTCTCACGATATGAATAAGCATCTCAACCCCCTGAAGGAAGTGGCTGAACAAATATGGGGGAAGGAACTAACCAACATGACAACAATGATCACATCACAAAGGTTTGGACCCCGTGACAATGTGACATCTACGTGCCAACCGCTTACGTGTGGAGGGAAGATGTAAGAACTTTACTGTCAGCGAAATTAAATGTCCGAGGTTTTGAGATTGGATACGTAGAAATAGATCGTGTGGGGGCGATGGAAGAAGTGGCCGTCTAGTAACGATACTTTAGAAGCCAATCTTGCAATGAATTGATGGCCTGGATACTATGCAGAGCTAGATAGGAAATGGATGCAGCTGGAGGATGGGGAGAGAATAGATCAATGTCGTTTGCATTTTTTCTTCTCGCTTGCTACGTAAATACACTGATATGTAGCATTTAATTGAATTTAAGACAACTGCCTATCATGCTGCTATCAAGTGAACTTAATCCAAAAACATCGCATAGGAAAATTTCATAAATGTTACCATTGAAACCGGAACCCTCGTGACCACACTGTTTTGTTTTTAGTCCTGGCATCATGTCTGATTGAGATAGGCGATGAATGACAAAACTATACTAGTAGTTGGGTGTTTCAAATTTTAGATCAACCAAATGAAACTTGCGAGCAGCTATTTCAGATTGCCTCTGTAAGAACACGTGCATCATCTAGAAAGGGAAGTGGCTTTACGAGAGGAATATCGAAACATCTGACTTTGATGTCCAATAACACAATCCTCAATAATATGCGAAATGATACGATGACCAGTAAATTACCAAGCGCTTGCTAACTTCTGAACGATCTCCAATGTTTCAACACGGAGCCACTTGGTGCGTTAATTGTTGAAGTTACAGTAATACTTCATCGATTGCTTCATGTTCCTGTCTGAAGCTGTACGACCATAACGCATCAAACAACAGACGCGCAATAGAAGCAATAGGTTGAGTAACGATATATGGTTTGTCGTTTCAACCCAAATCAAATATCGCCAAGATTACGAAAATAGATTTGGGCGCTTGATGGGACAATGGAAGAGATAAATAAAGCCACTTCCGCGCGTTGCATGTACCGTACGTACCAGCATAGGTACTCAGTAGCCGCCAGTCCCATTTTTCATGAGACCTCCGAGCAGACCCGTAACGCTTCAAAGAATGTTGTAACATGCTCTTCGTATTCCTATATGAGATCATGATAATAAAGAAGGACCGGATGGTTGAGTATCATCGATAGCCATGGCCAAGAATAATGTTGCGCAATGGAAAGGAATTATTGAAGGTCCGGAATGACCGCATGATTAATGTAAGACATTTCCGACAATAATGCGCATTGATGAGTGTGGGTGTGGGTGTTGATGATTGAATATTTGAGATCTTTTTTCCAAGATTTATCGCACTGCCACATCTTTGAAGCGTTGAAAAGTGGAATGTCCTCTCGTGATATATGGAGAGTCCGGATGTGGCATCGTCTGATAATTTTATTGGACATTGCATGAATTTTGAGGGTGTTGAGGATATATTGACTTTGGATGAAGTATGAACCCCAGGAAACAACCTAGTAATGACGGATGTAAAAACATCGGCATTGATGAATAAAACGTCTTGCATCGCAGGCTGAGTCTACTATGATGAATCATAACCTGGATTGACAGACTCACAGGACGGCCATAATGCTATCGCCAAAACTCCGGAGAGCAGGAGATGGCAGATGGTGGATAAGGGAATGTCGTTTTCGGATGATAATGTGGCAGTAGCAGTGGCAGTAGCAGGAACAACGGGATGTATTTGAAAAGGGTGGAGGGGGGAGGGGGGATGTTTCAGGCGAATTCATTCTTTTGGACCAATACCATTTGAGACTGATGGATTTATATGGAGCAACTACTTTTGATTTGTTGAGACTCTACCAGTCAATAACCGTAAGGAGATTTGGAGAAATTTGTTACGAAGAAGAAAAGACTTTTGATCGGCCTCGACTCTCTGCCTTTCATGTCGCCCTGATCGAAGTTTGTCATATTTCTTGTACGCATGAAAAATTAGATGTATGAATTGATAATAATAATTATCACCTCATTCTCGTTGCCGAACATCATGGCTGGGTAGCAAAAAGGGGCTGGGGTAAGTAAAGCAAGTGCCTAGTACACATACACAGTACATACTATATACGCACGATACGGTAGATATTCATTAAGCTCTCCCTAATTACGGCTGCCCTCAAACTAGAAGATCTGGAAATCTGGGAAAGCGGAATCTAATTGGATCTAAATAGATCTACACACCACTAGCCATTGACTTCGGCTGAAGTTTACTTTAGAAGCAACATCAAATGAACTTTCTAGTCCCGTACCCCATCCCTTGGCTTTGGTCATATCTCACCAATGATCTTTCACATATTGTGGTTGAGCATTAATCTTTATCTTCGCCATTGTCATTGCCATCATGAACATGGATATGGATGGATATTCGTATCAAACTGACAAGCCTCGTCTTCTAATCTTTTTCATGAGCGGGAGGGGGTGCATTCCCTTCGGTATTACCATTGGTTGGTAGGCACTTAGATATGTTCGAACATCGGAGTTGTCGTACGCATTATAAGCATTACCTACGATACTTGATTCATATAAATCTACTTCAGCCATCTCTCAGCCACACAATTTGACACAGAGTTATTGCGGACTTCCATGAAAAAAAGTCAAAATTTTCTCGCTTCCTTGACCTGGTAATTCGATGATATGATCTACCTAAGTGTGTATGATTCTCCCCGAGGTCGTTAGAGTTTTCGTTTTGAAGAGGTTGGCATGGCACGGTTGGGCTGTAGATATATGGGTATCTCGCTATCTGGGCATCGTCGGAGGTGGGAAAAGATTAGAAAAAAAGTCGTCATTCCAGTATTGCGCATGATGTGTTCAGTGCCCAGGTGGAGGTAACAAGCATTATTCCAACCCTACAGCATTGATTGATTGATGAATGATCAACCATCCACATATTCTAAGAAAATATACTTCCAGACTCATATTTTTTGAAAAGTACAGGGAATATTTGTTGTGTGATCGTTGCCAAATCATGGGATATTCGCTGAAGTGTCACATTCACCGCTCTCAATAGAAGGCTCGACACGTATATGCTGATCCATTTAAATACCGATGTTGACCATTACTCGCCATGCGGAGTTAGTGAGATCGTAACCAGTCATAGCAGCCATATTGGTGAAGTTTGCGATATATTCGAATCATATTGAATGCTTCCACCGTTTTCCCCATTTTATCATCGTCAATACATCTTCCTCCTTTAGTAGAATTCCCCTCACGCTTCATTTCCAATATACATGCATTTATTGGTATTTAGTTGAATATCTTCATAAATCGAATTCTTCCAGTGGTTTCAGGATACTCAACTTGATAGTAACCGCACAGCCTTACTTCAGCCCTTTTTATCGGCACTTGACCTAAAGAGCTCGAAGTAACGAATCAACCCCAAGAAGTCTGCAAAACCAGCAAACAGACGAATCTGGAAAAGCGACGGGAACGATAGAGAGAGATACACGAAAAAGAGAGAACTGCAGTTCTAGAGATCATCCAAGCACGGCATAACGGCCAGTGTAATTGCTTATGCTTATGCTTATGCTCCAGCTCAGATTACATCCATTCTAGCTCGTTGCCTATACTTCCTACTCTATCATACATTCCTCCTACACGAAAGCATAGATTCGAATCTCGACTCCTGTTCAATTCTTGGTCCATCGTTTTACAGCAGAATTGTACAACTTTCACCTTACTTAGACTTGTCCTACAATATCTTTTGAAGCATTACAAACAAATCATTCCTCGTTACCTTAGACGATCAATTCGAACGATCAAACCCTTGGTTTCAACTGAGCCCTTGTACATTTTGCACATCTAGGTGTGCTTGTCTCGCCTGCCATCTGATCCTCGGGGCGCAAGGTACTTTGACCAATCGAGCTACTCAGTACATCTGAAACCCGCTGCATTTCGCATGCATTGGTCCATCCACGCTCCCACGCACCGACGCCACTAGCCTGACCCTTTTTCCAATCATCGCCTAGCTAGTACACCAAAGCATAGATATACCATTCGGAAATCCCACCTACCAATTAATCCATTCTATACCTTGCTGTTTATTATAATAGCTTCAAGAAACCCTTGTCATCCTGAACGATTAGCCATTTCGAAGGTTTGGAACTACCTTTAGAGCCACTTGCATCCTTGGTTCCATTTTGAGAAACGAGGGGTATCAATCAATCCCAAGCATTCCTTTCCCAGCGCCTAGGACTCAATTTGGCATTTTAGACACTATACACTTTCAATCTGGTCCAATTATTCCCAGACGAACTTGACATTTCCTTACTGGACCGAAAATACATTTACTTCTGGCAAGGAAGAGCTGGATACTGTAGGGAGAAAAGCATTGGAGCATACGAAAGACAATTAAAAACTTCTGAAGTAAAGATCAAGAAAGGGAAAAAAGAAATCTAGTACACACACTTACATACCTCCCTCC